AAACGATGGGACGAAAGTATGGGTATACCATGTCCGCGCTCGTATGGTATGCAAGAACACAGAACCGCGAGTAGTGCGTAGCGCCACGTCCGGGAGCTAAGAGACAAAGTTTGTGAGCGTTAAAGAACACTGCGGGAAGCTGACCAAGCCGAAGAGAATGTAGTACCTGTTACAGAGAGTCGGTGCGTCGGTAGCTGATACATGTCCGTCGATGTCCCAGCCTAGTAGCTCAGCATACGGCTTCGGCGGTCCAGTATCAGATACCCCAGCATCCGTCCCCTCCCTCTATCCTCTGCAGCCAATCCTGCCTTGCCCGTGAGAACCCATAAGGCGCGTGCTCTGGGTAATCTGAGCGCAACAGTGTCAACTTGTCGTTGCCCAGTGTCATCTGATCTAGGGCACGGATACGCTCCATCTGAGCGACCCCGAAGGTGCTCGTGGGGCCGATGAGACCGATGATAACCCTTTGTATCTTCGTGGGGCTTGGTTTCAACGTCTGGTCAGTCGTGGCGACCCCCCTATCAAACAGTTCCAGGATAGCAGCGAAGAAATCTCCGGATAGTTCAGTAGGCCCGCTCATACGCAGATGCGTCAGAGATGGCGCAGACCCTAGGAATGTGATGACAGAGTCGCTCGAGTCCTCCACCTCCACGTGCAAACGTTTCAGCGAGGGGAATACGGGACAACGTTCTTGATGAGGTACAGACGAGGACCCAAGATCAAGACGAGCGTTCAACATGGTAAGTTCCTCGAGACGAGGAAAGGCATAGTCGGCGAGGACAGCGGAGAGGTCGCCGTGGATCCCCAGTCGGTTAACGTCTCCAAACTCCGGGATGACGTAGGTTTCCAATGTGAAAGTTTGCAAATCAGTGCTTGCAATGCGCAAGACACGATCAACGGCATGCATGAATACCTTCATCGGCGACGCCTCATTTGCTTCAAGGGTTATACGAACGCGTGCGTCGTATGACAGTCTGTCCACCGACCTCCACACATCGGCACGACGAAAGGTGTGAGAGATGAGAGCATCGCGTAGCTCCGAGGGACTGAGCGACCCGGGCGGGCTCCTATGAGTATCGCTTGGTCCCTTGTCATATGCACCGATGCAAAGGTGGAGAATGCGGCGATGCTCTGGCAGTCGGCTTTCGAGGGCGTCGGCAAGACGGTTCACCTCGTATGAACCGATCACTGCAATGCTTTGAAGCTTTACAGAGCGGGATGCGTCGCGGATGTACTTCGAGGTGCAAGATAGCGATCGCCCTGTAAAGCCGCCGTCCGTACACGCAAGGGTGAATATGCGGATCCAAATTTCTGTGGGACAACGGTCCATGTCGTTCGCCACCGCCCACCTGTCCATGTTACTGTCAGTGACCCAACAATAACCGAGCCACACATAAGCACAGTATTCCAAAGGCTCATACCTGTACAGTGTATATACCTAAAAGTCTGGACTGTTTAACGATTGAGTCAAGTTAAATTGTGCGCCGGTCTCAAGTGGGCTATATCATGCAGCAGTTTAGCAACAGCGTAGCGTCAGTGTTGGAACACAAGCCTGGGGGTAACAGATAGACACACTGAGACTGTGCCAGCCCTTTGTGGGAGCAGTACTAGTCTGAGCGACTCATACTCGTCCACAGTGGTCGACTGCTCCACGTTACAACCTGTCACTGTATCGTCACGATAGTTCGTCACACTCATGATTCAGTCCATTGAATGGACATCTGCTGCAACCTCTGATATCCAGAATGCTGTATTGATTCAAAATTTACGATATTTAGCATCTACGTGTAGAATATTTGAGGGACTGGTGTTTGCTTCAGGTGTTTCGACGGTTGTGTTCACCTTTTGGTGGCTCAACCTGAGCTGAGCGCTGACGCGGACGGCGCTGGCGCGCGGATGCGGAAATTGCCGGATCCCACTAGCGTTCAACTAATCCTTTGGCTTTGACTGTCTGAATACTTCGCGTTGAGTCCCCAACCACAGACAGCTCACGACTGCGAAATTCTCCCTGGGAATAATTATTATGGCCTTCCCATTGGAGACTATCTTCGATCTTGCAATGCTTTGCATCGAGCACACGGTACGTGTTTCACACGAATGATTGTGCAGGCGTTTCTTCGTATCCAGCTATCCTAGTGTTTAGACTCTAGTATGAGCAGTGTGAGGAATATTCCCAGAAAGTCTGGTCCTCAGTACTCAGGACTAATTCAGGGCGCCTTCTTCGTTGTCCCGCTGGTCTCGGTTTCCTTTCCATGCTTTCACGTCTTGTGCCGCAACTCGTGTCCTTCGATTTCTTCCGCGATACCGAGGGAGACTGTCTTCAAAAGTAGGCATATTCCGGTTTACTACGGCAGAAACACATTCTGCTGTCCGCGGAGATGTGCAGAGTCGTGGAGGCATCGAGGTCTTTGGGCGGGCTCCTTACCGAGGAGATCCACTACGGAAGCGTTTCACAGGAAAGTGCCGGAGAAGAGAGCGATGCATGGACGGAAACGCCACCTCGCATGTAAGTATCTCGAGAAGAGGTATAGCAGTCAGTAGAAGGTCTGCCTAAACAGCCCAGTCGGACTGTATATCCGAGGTTAGCTCGGGATGATTGCATTTGTCTTGGACCGGACTTACCTCGCGATCAGGGACAAGATTACTTCTGTGTGATACATGTTTTCTCCTCGATGTCGGCCTGGGGAACGAACGCAATGAGCCAAGATGTCATCGCGAGCACATCGGCCAAATTGTGGCATTGTTCCAGCCCGTTCTCCGCCGTGCCGACTTTCTCATCTTATACACCATAGTCGTCAAAAGCGATGGTGATGGGCTGGCTGACGGTCTCTGCTACTCGCTAGGATAAGCCAACTTAAGTGAGTAACGAAATAGCTTTCACGGATCGGGGGCGCTCACTGTCATGTTGATCAGACCCTTGCAGATCTCGATTATTGAGTACTCACCTGCATCGGGACCATACACCGCACGCCCGTCCTCCTTCTCGGATTGCGATCGATCCCGATGCCTGTGCACAGGTGTATACTGCGGCGCTCGCGGTCCCCGTCGGCCTGCCAATACGTTACCGACATCCGGAGATACCGACTCGCATGTGCAAATCAATCTACCCCACGAGTCTGTCGAGTACGACGCCGTCCAACGCCGTCCCCCTGGTGCGACCCCGTTTCGTCACATCCGACGAGCTTCACGGGTCAATGTGTAGGATCGTGCGCCCATTGATGGGCCTTGCTCGCGAATGCTGATGCGGTCTGCTGTTCTACCTGCCACTCGCCCCAAACTTCGTTTCCGAGGACCCAGTGCGTGACATTACTATGCGATTCGTCCCTGCCCGTGTTCTCGTGTTGAGGTTTCGCATGATAGATGCTCTCCATTTGAGGCAGGAAATCTCGACATGCGGAGGTATGACGTAACGGACTTACGTATCCATTGTAGTACTCGATCCTTCGCAGCGTACCTTCGAGTGTCCCGGTCCCCGTGTTAAGAACGATGTAGGGTTCGATCTTCGCTACTCGGAACCATGCGTTGAATTTTTACCATCGTGTGGTCAGTAGTATCGGTGGAACAGCACCATAGGAAACTTACTCGTCCGTCCCGAACAGGTTGCTTTCTTCTCTGCCCTATGCCAGCTCCGGGCGGCGCTTCCTTTCCTTCCTGGGACATATTCCGACCTTCCAGCTGTACGTAACATCCGCCTGGCCTCTTCGCCATGTGTGTTTGCAGCTCGCGAAATCTTCGAGATATCCTTCCGGAAACCTTCCTCAGTTAGGAGCTCCTTCGGTGTCTCGACGTTTTGCGACACGTTTATGGGAAGTTGGTATGACGTACAGGCAAAATATCGCCCTCAATGTGACCCAGTCATGCGAAGAAGCCAGAGAAGATGGGCGATGGGACAAGCGCGTCAAGAACATCCCTTGCTCTCCTGAGCCTCATAGGTCATTCAAGTCTATCTTCAAACGGGAGTTTCAGTAAGAACTGGCACGGCGTCGGCTTGTTTGGTGCGCATTGAGAGTCTATTCCTCCCTAGATTATGATAGCTTTCTTCCTTACTTCTGTATGCTCTGCAACGGAGATTAGCAAGTCAACCCTCCCGCTTTCACTTCGTTCGTACCGGGCACTGAGACACGGCTCAGTCCACCCGAAACTAAGGGTGTCCCTCTTCAAGGTTCGCTCAGCCGTTTCCGTAAGATACTCCGACGTACACCTCGTTAGCTACTTCGAGAGCATGCCAACTTTCGCTCCTGGCTCGCATGTGGAACTCAAGAATGCATACGAGGGTGAAGAATAACAACAGGAGATACGTGCTGGTGCGCCTGTACGTGAATGAGAAGATGTACAGGGGAGAGGTTGAGAAGGTATAAGTCAGACTCGGATGGCTTGCACGCAGGGGATTTGACTGTGATGACATTCATGACTTTGGGTATTGATGTCGTAAGATACAATGAGTAATGATGAACGAAGCGCTATTTAATTATGAACACCATGACTGTTCCCTCCGAATCTTTAGACTTTGGTGCGATCTGTACCTCACTGTAGTGCTAGTGAGACCAGTAAGGTGTCGGGTAGCCGTCGGATGATTAGTTCGCCTCAAGCTATTCATTGGATCTCACCACCCATTTCTAGGTCAACCGTCCTAGTTCGGCCCTGGTAATCCGTAATTTGCACCAAGCTAGTTCTGTGGGCGCGTGATACCCACGCTCCTCCAAGTTGGTGAATTTTACCTTGCCCTGAGAGACGCATGTTAGTGTAGTACACATAATACAGGTACATCGCCTGTATTTACGTACATCTCAATGAGTAATTCCAAACTACAGTCGTGGCGGCGGCCTGTGAGCGCGACAATTTAGCGCAGATCGCATCGGTACAAAACGTCGGCGCTTACTGTAGCGCGAATCATCGCGTCCTCGCCCAGCGGGCACTCTCATCGAACGTCCACAAATGGACAGTTCCCATGCCCGATGGTGCGGTGCTTCTTCTGGAATAGAAGGACGGTGTAAAACGAATGACAAGAGCGAGATTCGAACTCGCGCCCGTGAGGACTGGATTCACCAAATGCAGCGCGCAGACCACTAAGTGACAGACACCGCACTGGGTGCATAAAACCACCTGATTCCAGCGCCTTAGACCGCTCGGCCATCTTGCCCTGACAGAAGTTATCGCGCAATTTATACAATCCACTAGTCCACCAGCAGCTCGAGCGGTCTTATACAGTGGAATAGCCTGAGTCTAAGGAACCCCGGGACGCCTTCGAGGTCGAACAAAGGTTGACGTTGAACCACGCTTGGACACGTCCATCTATTTGACTGAATGCATCGGTACCCGAAAATTTTGCAAGTTCACATATGCTAGTCCACTTGCGTGGGGTGTGTCTCCGAACAAGACGATGTGAGAGATCGCTGGGGGCAAATCGAGGCGAACTCCATGTCTACACCTATACGCGTGGAAGAATTGTGGAACGATGACGTCGGTGAGCGTATCACCGTGCTTGCGTATCCCGTCCTTCCGTGATGCAGTACACTTACCAAACGATGGTTACTAGACGTACCACAACCCACGCGGAGCTTGTGGTAGCCGGACAGGCTATCTCTAGAGGCAAAAAAGGCCGGTCTGCACAGGATGCAGCCTAAGAACAGTCGTGCATCATTGTCGTCGAATACTAGTAGTCAACGAGCCCGAGATTTGAAGGGCGCACGGCTCACCCTATCCTCACAGCTAAACCTAAGCTCAACCCCGCTTTTCCTCTCCAAGCTCCCGACCATGTTCAACAGGGTACTGCAGAAAAGGCACAGCATATGTGCAACGTACGAACTCGGAGAGCCCGCGTTAGTGCATTTCGCGCCGCGGCACGCCACATAGGGAGTACACGCACAAAGTCACGCACTGTTCGGCGCGCACCCAGCATGGTGATCATTTCGTTGGATCGCATCTGTAGGAAAAACGAGTCAGCCATACTCATCACACGAGCTGCAGGCACTGGAGAAGGGAGCAAACAGGTCGCAGCACTTGCATGTAGGATGAATATCACGCACGTATGGCCTACGCATGAATGCACAATGGCGACAGCGTCCCTCTTCGCAGGTCTGTGAGCTGTGAGTGTATAAACTGTCAGCGGAGATGAAGATGCATCTATTCAGTAAGTATATGCACCTTTCCTTTGGGCTCCCGGGGGTGCGGCATATTCACGGTACCTGTCCCTGCTGAACCGTCAGTATAGTAACCCTTGGGTTCCTGGAGCAATCTCCTCGTATAGCATCGGCTAATCTCGTGATAGTCCTACTGCTGGATGTTGGACCTGCACGCGTACGGCAGACCCGGGCTCGCGCATACAGCATTCCGGCAGTGAAGGTGGCGGGAGTCCGGCGAGCCGCTAGATCCAAGCAATCCCGAGCGAATAACTGGCCCACCACACAGAAGTGACGAGGCGACAAAAGGAGTTGTTCAGTCTCGAGGTTGCCAGTCGTGTAGTGGTCGTACATATGTGCGACTGTGTTGGGCGCTACTGGCAGGCACGGACCTCCAACTGCTCACATAACACTTACGTCGTCAGATGTCTCGCAGTGCTTGAGACCATTGAGTGACGACTGAGAAAATGTTTGACTTCTTTCTACCCGCGAATAAGTAGATACATTGTGTATATAGTCCGGAATGTCCGTTTCGATGAAAAGGAATGAATGTGGTACATGCAGTCGCAAGCTCATTACTGTTTGAAGTGAATGAGCAGTATGCTAGTCAATATTATAAGGCAGAGTTCTGTAGTCCGTAGTCCGATCCATCCGAAGGAACGTTTTATATCACCGTAAACAAGCTTCGTAGAAGATGCGTGGAGGGTACCACAGGGATGCCTCCGTGGGCGTACGCGCGTCGACTGTGGCGTCAGCTGGCGTAGAATTCAGTCTTGGCGGTCGAGAATGGTCATCAATCCTGGCACGCCGCGTGCGCGCTCGAGAACGGGTGGTCGCTGTGGGTCAGGGCGGTCTGAACGTGCCGCATGTGCAGCGTAGCGGACCTGTAGGGGCTGGTGATGAGCGGACGCAAAGACGCGGGGGACGAGCCACACGCACATGGACTTTGAAAGTCCTGCCATCATGCCGCGGCCCGCATACATGACATGTCCACCTATGCAAATCCACGGGGTGATCAGTCACACGCACCCACAGCGCACAACAACGGAGGGTACGCACTGTTCTTCCACCAAGACATTCGCGCCGATCAGCTGGGCCTCCTCGTATAGCGATGCTCGCGCGAGACGGACGAGTTTCTCAGCATCGACGCCGTCCCTGCACACGAAGACATCCTCCCTCTCCGGTAGCGGCACCTTCTTCGCCGACACCGCACCCTCCCCCCAGAATCGTCCGTCAGTGTAGGGCTCGTCGCCCGAGTCGCTGTAGATATGTCCCTCCGCCGCGCGTTTGCGGTAACGCCGCAGGCGAACGATAAGGCTAGCGACATCCGCCATGGACTTGAATGGCATGATAGCGAGGTTTTTGAGCGAGGGCGAGGGTGAGCGGGAGGAGAAACGAGCGCGGAGGGGCGAGGGGGGCGGGGTCGAAATGGAGGTAGGGAGAGACATCGCAGCGCTAGCGAAGATGAAGGTCGAAGGAGAAAGCAAGGGGAGTTGGGACAAGGGAGCCAAACTGCCAGCCTATTATTACCCTGATGCATCACCACCCGCGGCGGTCTGCGCTAAATTCGGAAACGATCATTGCAAGTCTGGATCATGGGCGTCATGCATGCCTATTTCCAGTACCGCCGAGGCGCTTCTCTCCGTCCAGTGCCAAAACCACTTAATTATTATCGGCCTACAGCGGCCGGCAGTGCAATGAGCACTGGAGTCAGTACCGAAGTACTGGCCTCAGTTGCTGCGAAAGGACCACTGCGTCGGACAGCGGTCAGGTCGAGCATCGTAAAATCTTAGCGTCGGCAAATACAAACAGGGGCTAGAATACCCCGCCATGATGCGGCAGCCAGACTTCCGACTCGGACAGGAATTTTGCCCACCTTGGCGGCAGACTAAGACATGAAGCGAACACGCATCTCGCTTCACAACGCTCGTCACTCAGCGATGCCTTCCCATTCCTCAAACTCCTCCTTCTTGACCGTTGCCTTAAGCTTTGACTTCCGTTTCTTGGACGCCACAAGATCACTTCCCGCCTCTGCCTTCTTCAGCCCAAGCATCGTTTCGTGGACTGCATGACTGAGGTCAGAGACAAGACAAACGATAAGCGTCGTGAATACGTACATGTACCCGCGAGCATGTCATCGGCGATGGACACCGCACCTGACGTGATATATCGCGTCGACACGCCGCGCGCGACAAGCGGCTGCTCAAGCAGGCTCTTTAGCTCAGCCTTGAGGGAAGCAACCTTAGCGTCCGACGCTTTCCTTTGGGCCTTCGTCGGCGCACTCCCCTGTTCCTCCCTGAAGCATCCAAACGAAGGTGTCCGTCAGCCATGATGAGTTCCAGGCCGGGCGAACGCCCACTTACGCTTCTAGGTCCGAGTCGAGCTCGATCTCCATCGCCTCCGCTGCCTCCCTCAGCCAGTTCTTCTCGTGCTTCTCCTTCCGCACCCTGTGCTGTGCCGTGTCGATGTCCCGCGCAAGCTGCACGCGTGCCTTCAGCTTATCCAGAAGGTACAACTCCACCGGCATCTCCGGAATCTCGTCCTCGTCTGCACCGTCGGTCAGAACTCTGAATAGACAGCGGAGGGAGGAGCGTACCTCTTTTGAGGCTGCCCATGAGCGCGCGCACGATGCGCCGCTCGTCCGGCGCGACCATGAGCAAGCTGAACCCCTTGCGAGCGGCACGTGCTGTCCGGCCGTTCCGATGTACGTACGCATCTGCGGTGCGCGGCACCTGGTAGTGCACAACGTGGTCGACGGCGGGGACATCAAGTCCGCGCGCAGCGACGTCTGTCGCCAGGAGGACTCCGTGGGGCGAAGACTTGAACCTGAAAGCCAGAGGATAAGTAATTGAGCATGTAAGGGGGACAGATGAAACGGAAGGCACAGCGCACCGATCGAGGTTCTTGAGTCGCTGTCTTTGTTCAAGCTGAGAGTGGAGAGGGAAGGCAGGGATTTCCAGCAGGGACATGATCGGGAGAAGCCGTCTGATGCCGTCGACGGAGGAGAGGAAGACGAGCGTCCGTCCGGGATAGCGCAAGAGGAAGTAGTATAGATACGCGTCCTAAGTGTCGGAGTGAATCTATGTTAGCTAACTCAAGGTGTTGGAAGAGCAGTGAATGGACCTTGTCGTTCGCCAGACACTCAATCTTGCTCTCTTGCAAAGTCGCGACGACGCCACCCTCTGGCGCGATATCAACCACGGCAGGCGTCGAGTCACGGAAGTCGAGCCTCATCAAAAGGTCATCTATAGTCCCGCGTCACCAACCGCGGCACGTCGTAAGTGAAGATGCGGGAACACGTACCGAGCGTAGACGCTGGTTTGCCCTTCTTGTTCTTGATCGGGCGAGATCGCTTCTTCAAATTCTTCTGAAGCTCCTTGCTGAGCGTCGCGCTGAATACGAACGTCTGCATCTCGCCGTCCTTGACACCCGCCTTGTCGTCCTCCGCTTCCCCCACCCCCTCATCTCCCGCCCGTAGCTCGGTCGCAGGCTCCGGCTCGATCTCGTCATCCCTGGAAACCGCATGTAAATATGGGAACGAGTCGGGTGGGGGGATGTGCAGCTCACTTATTCTGCCGCAGCGTGAGCCGGAGAATATTCTCCATCTCAGCGAAATGGCCGGTCTCAACCATGCGATCTGCCTCATCAAGCACGAGGAATCGCAGCTGCTCTATCTGGCCTGCGAGCTCATCGTCCTACAACCAGATCCACCATGAGCATAAGCCAGACGCGACGTCAGAAGGTATAACGCGCACCTCCTGAATGATGTCCCACAGCCGACCGGGCGTCGCGACGAGCACGTCGATGCCGCGCGAGAGTATACGGCGCTGCTTCTGTGCAGACATACCTCCGACGATGGCGGCGACGCTCACCGGTGGCGGGCCATACCGCTTCTTCGGCGCATCGCCGGTCTTCTTCTCTTTGCCCTTGCCCTTCTCTTTGCCTTTGTTATTCTCCTTCGAGCCCACTGCTGGTAGCTCTGGGTCATGCTCCTCTTCCTTGACGGCGGCAGAAGAGATGT